CTGCGTCAGACGTCATCGCTGCACCGCCGCCCTCGTCTTCGCCGCCGCCCTCTACGACTGACGTCAACCGGCCGCCCCCGGCCGGTCTTCCTCGTCCGTACGTACGCCTGCTAACGCCCCCGGACCGGCCTGCGGCTGTCCGCTTCGAGGCAGTTCATGGCACTCCGCTTCTGGGCGAGTTCAACGACGCCGCCCCTCGAGTCCAGCGCCAAGATCTGGAGCGCTCCGGCCTGGGCGAGGAGACCTACGTCCGCCGCAGCCATGCACACCTTGGCCCCCGCGGCCCTCGAATGCGGCCTCCTGCCGCGCGAGGAGGCGAGGCAAGTCATGTTCCGGCGCGCCAGCGACGCGCTCTTCAGCAGCTCCCGCGGGCCACCAAGGACGTCGGGCGTCCTTGGTGGTCAACTGCCAGCCTCTTCAAACCCACCCCCTCGCGTAGGTCGCCATGATCGTCAACCGCGGTACAAGCTGAGGGCGGCGAACATCAACGAGCTTCAACCTGGGCGGGATGGCTGCACGCCGCCGGGTCATCGCCGTCGCGACCTCGCTCCGCGACCTCCTCCCAGGTGCACAGCGGCTACCTACGCCGTGGTGCGTCACTCGCCAGCACCCGCGACAAAAGAAATACATCACCCAGAATTGCCAGTTACTTCTTGCCAACAAGAAGTCTGATGCTCTATCCCCAAATTGCCTGCTTCCGCGTCGGGGCGCTTGGCCCTGTCTCCTGTCCAACAGCATCGCCGATCCGGCGCCGGGCGCCAGCTACCGCCTGCTCCACGTTAGGTAACGTCCGCACCACCGGGGTGCGAATTCCGAGCGATCTTTGCCGCTGTACGTTTACCAGCGCAGCAGCCGACGACCGCATGGCAAGGTTGGGGTTTCAGCTGTCAAAGATCTTTGATGGCCCATTGCCGGCGGTGTCCCTTGAAGCACCAACATCACCACCCTCGGCCCCCTTGTCCTTCCTATCAGCGAGCAGCTCCTCTTCTTTGCCACCCTTGTCGCCAAGAAGCTGTTCAACGCCAAGGTCAAGCCCTACATTCCCGACTTCAAGCTGGCTTTCGAGCACTTCTGTATCCATGCCGGTGGGAGGGCCGTGATTGATGAGCTCGAGAAGAACCTGCAGCTGCTGCCCGTGCACGTTGAGGCCTCTAGGATGACCCTCCACCGATTTGGCAACACCTCGTCCAGTTCTATTTGGTATGAACTTGCCTACATTGAGGCAAAGGGGAGGATGAGGAAGGGGAATCGGGTGTGGCAGATTGCGTTCGGGAGCGGGTTCAAGTGCAACAGTGCCGTGTGGGAGGCTCTTAGGAATGTGAAGCCGTCGCCTAATGGGCCCTGGGAGGATTGCATCGATAGGTACCCTCTCGAAATCGTTGATGGGATTCCTGCCTCGCAACCGCAGCAACAGCACTCTGCTGCCCGATGAAGTTCTTTTGCTAGATTTATGTGGTCTCGTTAGATAGAAAGATTTCTCTAATTACATCACTGGGGATCCATAATTTGGTTTCCTTGTTCATCTCTTATTCAATCTGTTTTTAATTTGATGATGGTGAGAGTCATAATATCATACCCCATAATTCATTATGTGTCTTAGTCGTGCAAGTATCGTGGGTGAAACGCTGTCAAGTGAGTCCTCGTTATTCTAGTACCTTGATAGTGTTAAAGTACTTCTCAGGCGATATTACCTTCGTGTGTACTGTTAAAATTTATTGACATTGTTTCGGTATTTTCTGTTCTTAACCTTTATTTGATTGAAATTATTCATATGAATAACACATCTGTTTGTGTGTGTTTGTATCCGTGACCGAATCTATTGCTCTTTTTCTTTATGGTTGTGGTCTATCTAAACTTTATTGACATGTTGGCTTCAAGATATCTGTAACGCAATACGTACGCTGTAAGTTCAACTTTTTTCTCCGATTTGTCTCTTGAACCGTTCCATCTCAATTAACTAATATTATAATTCCTGATTATAATACCCATCTTTGCACAATCGTGTATGTATTGTGAGAATTGAAGCACTCCTAACTATGTCATTCCTATTCAGTATGCTTTTGTTTTGTTGAAGTTTCTATAACCATTCAATTCTACACTAGAACATATTATGCTGTAGTCAATTTTTTATTCTTTTGATTATTATTATTATTATTATTATTTTCTTTTGACGTCAGAAATAGTTTCTTTCAGGTTCTATTTCCCCCCTTCCCATAACACTTTAGTAATATGCCTTTTGAAGATACTTCAGCGACACTAAAATGGTGGTTGAACTGCCAGCTGCCTCTGGACGAGATGAATTATTATTTGGTTGGCTAGACCTTTCACTGAGTTTTCTCCACATTTAACCTGAAATGTAGCCAGTTTGCTTGTTACTGAGCCTTTGAGGTAACATCAATAAACTCCATTTTCATTGCATGTCATCTAGCATCCTGTTACATTGCACGAGAAACTTCTAATTTGTAGATTACAATAGTATCTTTTTAGACCTGAAGTTCACTTCTTGGATTCACACCATGTTGTAAGAACCTGGTTGAGTTTCTATTATCTTAAATAAAATTATAATTGTTCATGCAGAAACCACGAAATGACTTTGCTTATAGTGCCTTCTATATTAATGCAAACCAGATTCATATGCTACAACATATGCCTATTGCATTACACCACATATTTCTTGTATTTTAGACTTCATTTGATTTGTATTGGATAAGTGGTAATATATTTTGAGACATTGACCAATCCTTCTTCATGACCTTATTGTATAATTCTTTGTCATCTTGTAAATGACGTACTTTTTATGACTGTGGAAGTGCAATTATCTTACTCGGAAACAGAGGAATTTGCCTTCGTGCTGTGCCACAGGGAGGACATAAACATCAATTCCTCATGCAGTTGTTATTCAAATGAAAAGTTTAATCCTCTTAAGAAAATCTCTTGTTTTTTTTCTTTGTCAATGAATTATACGCAGGATAATTCTGGTAGTTGTAAGGTTGTTTATCGCAAATTCTTAGCTTTCATATCATGACGGTAGCAAGAGAATTCATTAGGTCATCATTTTTCTTTTGTGTTGGAATAAGCTGGTTGCATGGAGCCTAAGGATTGCTTTGGCAGAAATTACAGGATGTCCGAAAGGAACCTCCATGTTCAATTTGCTTTACGGTTTCAATGAGATCCTATGAAGCTTGTGTTCAATAACATTTTACTGTGTGAACCCTGTTATCCTTCTTGTCCCTATTTTTTTTTTTCTATCTAAACGCTTCTTCCTTGCTATTTTACCTCTCCTTAATCAGTCTTGATGTTCTGTTTTCATGTTGAGATCTAGATTGTATTGACTCTCCTGCTTCAGGATGGTTACTCATATTGTCACAGCTTAGTTATAGGTTACCGATGATTCTCTCCATCTTGTTAGTTAGATAACACTTCATTGAGAATTGGAAAATTTTTTTGATGTCCTACAAGGCAAAATATATTGAATATGATGCCTTTGTTTTCTCTCTACTTATGGCCTACTTGTTCTGAAGACTTTGAAAAGGTACATTTAACTTAAATGGCTAAGAGGCAGCTGAGGTTGAGGGATGATCTTTCCTGTCTGGTCGGTCAGTGCCTATTTTATGTTAGTTGTCTGTTGTGGTGTTACTGACTGATGATGGGCTATAATTGAACTTCTTTTATTGCTGCTATGTTTTGATAATTTGCGCATGTATTCAACCAGACAAAATGCATGCATGAAGCAAACTTGTCCTCAGCTGACGAGTTTGCGCTTCACGTGCATATCCTTTGGAGTTGAATCAACATTGGATTATACACCATGTATAGTATTATACTGGGTTGTACTGATACGCTGGTATGACCAGATCCATTGCCAACATCTTTAGATTCTCGACGAAACGCATGAAAATATTATCATTTCACGGCGTCTTGAGAAAATTTAAAGCTGTTATTGGATCACTTTTTTGTGGAAAGTTTCAAGAGCCATCATGCAAAAACAACTCTCAGACTTCACATTTATATTAGGTCATCTTCTTTTTGTTTCTTCTGTCACATTTCCCTTAAAATATCTTACTTTCACTTTTGAGTTTATCTTTCAGTTATTTGAAGATGTGATAGATCCCTTTACTGATGTTTGGAAAGCCAGGTACCTTTGAGGAAATTGAAAATCCTTAACGCGTACGTGCAAATCATTGTCGATTTATTAAAGGTCATTTTCCAGCTTAACTGAAGCAATAAGCCATTTCGATTTCCAGGTACTCTTGATAAACTTATCATGTAGAGCTAGTCTTGTGCCTTCTTTCTCTCAATAAATTAGAAATGTAGTTGCATAACTATAACATGATATATCATGCTCGATTATGTTTTTCAATGCAACCACATCACAGTTAGCTTGTAGAGCGGTAATCTGCTTTTCTAACCCTTCAAGAAGTGGTTTGTTTTGATATTCTGAATATACACAACTTCAAAGTTCTGAAGTATTGTAATTATATACTCACCTAGTCGTTAGGTTTTGCCTGCAGTCTGTATTTTGTTTAAATATGATGCGTACCTTTCTGTCATAGTCATTTTGTGCTCTACTTCCCTGAGCTGGAAACATTCAGTATTGGATATCACTGGTATGTACCCTGATTGATTTATGTTTATGTAACTCGAGTGAAGTTCAACTGAATCTAATCTGAAAATCAGTAGTATCCTTGGACAGGCTTCTTGTTGCCATGTAGCTAGCTACTGTAGTGTCATAAACATTATTATTATTATTTGATGAAGTCATAAACATTATTTTAAACTGCGAGTCTTAGCCTTATCGTGAACTGAGAATTTTGAAATAAATCTCATCCGCGACCTCTCATCTTAGTGAGATGCCAATGTCATGATGAGTCAATGGTTTCCAGAATATGACTTTTGCTTATATCATAAGACGAGGATCTTTTTGGTGCGTGTGGTGCGGGAGGGAGGGAGGAAAGGATTATAATAGAACAAACAAGAGCTGAGGGAACGTAATCCAATGCCCACTTTAAACGGGCTCAACGTTCATATGAGATTCACCGTTTTCCATCTTTTTCCTCCAAAAATCGCCTCATGATCTCATCAGCCCAAATAACAGTTTGCTACCCTGTAGAGATCTCAGCGGGCATTCGTGGAGAAGAACCTTCTAAGCATAAGAGGGAGGAGTTTGCAATCTGGGTTTGGGTGTCGACACAGCAAAGGAAGATGGTGTTTGAATAAGGGGAAAGAGAGAGTTGATGATGCGCAAGAGGGGAGGAGAAACTGAAAAGAGAGAGGAAGAAAGAGAGAGGGATGAGGAGAAAGCGAGAGAGGGAAAGGGGATGGAAGGAATAGATCATTTCAGTTGCAAATAGACTCTTTGAACATTAAAAAATTTCAAATATGAGTGAGTCGCTTGCTTGTCTTTCATAACTTCAACTATCATGGGTTTGACAATGTCAACCAAATATGATGTCTATAAGATAGAGATGGCAAATTGCAGAAACACCTAGTTTGACGCAAATGGCTGAGATATTATCGATGAGTGATACATACTTTTATCCAAATTTCAACCTGCAGCGGGACAAAACTCTTAACGTCCAGACAACAAGAGTGGGAAAACATAACCTGGAAGGTGGTTTCAGTAAAGCTGAGAGGTGTATGTATAGATTGGCTACCGCTTACAATTTAAAAGGAGTGGGGGAAGAAAAAGGTAAAAGAAAATAAAATTGCAGCGAACGTTGTAGCTAACACAGACGCTACTGATCAAGTACGATGAATATAAACCAAAGAAGATATCGAACATGTCCCAGGCCGCGGGCCGGTGTCTCCCACCTAAAACACTGTAGTGCGTTAGTTGTACGCTATCAGCCCGCCTGGCGCTCATCAAATTGCCCAGAATTGGAACGAGTGCGGCTGCTACAGCTCCATTACTCATCATCATAGTCTACAGAAGTCTCGATGATTTCCTCTTCTTTCTTGTTTAACTGTGATGAAACGGTGCTGTCCACTTCCTTCAACCCAATCTCCAGAGCCCCAACAAGATTCTCAAAATAGTTGCGTGTCACACTGGTCAGCCTAGCGAGTTTCTCACGGAAATCAAGGAACTTCTTCAAATCTTCACCGACAATTTCATCAACATTATCAGCCATGTAAGCTTGCAGATCCGTCTCAGCTGATTGGTGCAGCCGTTCTAAACCAGCTTCGGCCTCGCCTTGCAGGTACTCGAACAACTCTTTCTTGGCCTTCCCTTCGGGGTCAAGGTAATATCCGTAGGCATAAGACCATGTAAGAACTCTCCTGCACTCCACTACCTGTTCCCAGGCTTCAATCACAAAGTTGAGCTCTCCATGGGACATGCTTACCTTGTCGCGGAGCTTGTCAACCTTTTTATGCATACTCTGCAGATCTGCAATTGCCTTTTTGGTCGATGATTTATTTGTTGCCCAACGCTCGTAGTAGTGGGTGTACCGCTCTATAGAGTTTTTAGCCCTTTCCCTTATTGACTCTTCCTCGCTGTAGGCGCCACTTTCCTTGGCTTCTACGTACTTGTTGCAATCATAAAAACTTTGGCCTTGGTGCTCTGACCAGCCTCCAAGACATAACCAGCAAAATTGGAAGTTGCAGGGGGGTGTGCATGTCATATGCATACATCCTTGGTTTTTCTCGATGGCGCGTCTGCACTTAGGGCAAGGCTTGGAGTTGGCTAATATCCAGTTTGTGTTTTCGGATTCTGAGCTGTTCTTCAATACCCACTCTGCCACGGTTTCACAAGGCACCGGCCTGTGAGCATCTTCCCCACAATTCCAGCAGAAAGCATGCCCACATCTGCAACTAACCTCGGAGTCCGCGCTTCTGCTGCTTCCTCCGCCACCATGGAAAATAACTGCAAAGTCACAGCCCGGGCCGGGGCACCACTTCGCCTTCTTATTGCCTTCGATGTAAGATCTAACAAGAAAGCGGGAATACTTTTCTCTATCCTCTTGCGACACCAAAGCGTCGACCACGTCTTTACTGACAGCGGCTTTGCAAGACGGATCGGGGCATCGCAGGTCGAGACAACCTGGGCCGTCGCTGTTAATGGATGTGCTAATGTAACTTCTCCAGCACCCAACACAGTGGCGATGGCGGCAAGAAGCTGCGTTAATCATCTCCCCCACGGGCCACATTTCGAAACATATCGGGCAGTTCACTTCCTTCTCTGCGATGTCCACAATCCCGACCGGGTTCTGCAACAACAAACCAGCAGATTTCCGAACCTTCTCTTCGTCCGCGAACCACTCGTCGTGCACCTTGTTGGCGTCCCAATTGTTGCGCACAAGAAGAACACAAGAATCACCAGATGAGATACAGAGAGTATGTGAGAGTTTCCTTACGTCTTCCTGCTCGAGTCTTTGTATGTCATCCTCGCTCAAGATCTTGTAGTTTTGCTCGCGAGGAATCAATCGATCACCGGGGTCTTCCTCCGCGAAGCTGCCATCATCGCTGTCACCATCATAGTCATCATTGTAGTAGCCCTCTGATCCCATATCACCATCATCGCTGTATCCATCTTCTTCGTCGGAGTAATCCATGCTCTTCAAACCGCTATCACGAAAAAAACGTAGGGCCGTGGGGAGCAAGGTCTTATTATATATTCTTTCTTGTTTGACGAAGATCGCTGAGGGTTGTTTCTGCTTTCTGGTTTGGCGTTTAGATTTGATGTGGAGGGTCTTTTATACAGACGTGCGCCCGATTCCAATTACGCCTAGGCTTTCTTATTAGATACGCGCATCTTATAACACCTAACTTTACTACTACTAGGAAATTCTATGAATCCTTAATTAATTATTTATGTATTTAGGTCTCCTAATAGTGGGGTAACACCTCTATTTCAAACCGAAGTTTATTAGGATTTTGGTATGATTTTGCAGGTAAATTGTAAGAGGTTACGGTTTTTTTAATTTATTAAAGTACTAGGAAATTCTAATTTCAATCCTTGGTCAAGAAGGATAGTAAAACAATTCATATGGGGATTCCTAGTTAGGGTAAGAGTATAATTAGAATTTATTATAATTTTACGGATCCGGATCCTTTTCGCTACAAAAATAATAGTGAAGAGATCACTACTACGTCTCAATCGTGAGTTAGTTCTCAAGGGGTGATTGTGATTTGTCACTAAGTGTAAATTAAGAAACAAGTAATCTTTACTCATACGGGGGATATGGTGAGTGCTAGATTTGAAATGAACCATAACCACGTACTAAATAAGTCGAAGCGGTCTACTTACTAATTTTTTAGTAGAGATGATCCAAATTCTAATTATATCGCTATACCCCTCGTTTATATATAGAGTAATTGGTGGTTCACCTAAGTCGCCACGTGGTCTTCAATGTTCTTACTCAAAAAGTCGAAATGTGGCAATTAATTTGAGATTTAGGGATAAATACCCATCTTTCCAATTAGTTTAAAATTCTAATTAATTATGAATATATTTTAGGAAGGAATGGGTATTTTAAAAGTGCATATTATTTCCAATCAAATCTCTTTCTATGAAAAGTTCAAATATCATTAGATGTCCTAACTTCGAATTTCAGATATTATATTAAATTCTATTTTTTTAATTATTGGTATATCTTCTCCAATAAACTAGAACTAATCATCCGTCCAATGTATTTAAAGGAAAATTAGTTTGTGAACCACAACCTCAGTTATTATAGTATTTTGAAAACATTTTGAAAATATTTTAAAACGAGGTTAGGATTGGACTTGACTCAGTTTTGCATTAGTTTGTGATCAGTAAAAACTGGGCATAAGAACTGGGCTAGTTCGGGCCTAGTTCTTTTTAGGCAAAAAATAAACCTTAAAACCTGTTAGTGTTAGACCAACTCCTTCTTGGTCTGACTCTAAACTGGTTTAGAAGATAACTAGGTTAGGATTAGACCTGACCTAATTTTTAATTGATTGCCAAACACACCCTTAGGGCCTGTTTGGCAACTGGGCCAAATTGGGTTTTGAAGCTGGTTCTTTAGAGAACCAATTTAGTTGTGAACCAGCACCCCGTAGTAGGGGTGAGCACGGTTCGGTTCAAACCGAAAAAACCGACCGAACCGACCCAAACCGATCTGGAAAAAGCGGTTTTATGAGTAAGGCGGTTTGGGTCGGGTTGACAATTTTTCAAACCGACCCGAACCGAACTAACCGAATATATTTGTGCCTTTGATTTGTGGGTTTATTGTTGTCTTCGATCACCATGAATAGCAGTTGCAGGGAATTGATTCATACATAACCAATGTTCTAATGAATCAACTTCTTTTTTTGCCTCCACAAAGACCAAAGTCAAAGCTTGCTACACAAAGACAAAGCAAGTCCGTTACTAAAAAATTACAACGTCAGATTCTAGTATTTAATCCAAAAGGACAAGTTACTTCACTTAAAAAGTTACTAAAAAATTACAACGTCAGATTCTAGTATTTAATCCAAAAGGACAAGTTACTTCACTTAAAAACAATATACATACATGAGCAATAATAATAAATTGAAGTGAAGTTAAAAAACAAATACATGCTGGCATAGGGTAATAATAATATATAAAAGATAAATTGAAGTGAAGTTATACTTGATGAAGTTAGAACCGAACAAACCGAACCGAACCGCACCGAACCGATTTGTAATGGTTCGGTTCGGTTTTGAATTGTAGATGGTTCGGTTCGGTTGTTCAAATTTTAGTGAAAACCGACCCGAACCGAACCGTGCTCACCCCTACCCCGTAGTCCACAACTAAACTGATTTTAGCCCCAAAAAATAAACTAAAAATGTTTTTTTACCAATCAGAAAACAATCTCAAAACTGGACCAAGCTTAGACTTGGCCCAGTTTTACAAAGTTGCCAAACAAGCCCTTAGTGATCTTCTAAAAACACAGTAAAAAAAACACCATGATATCGGAATGAAGTCCTAGTATTTGGTAATGGTTGATATATTCAAGATAATTACGTATTTATAAATTATCGTTTCAATTCATCCTATTTCATCAGATCCAGGATGTGATATGGTTCCGAATGATGAACCAGATATAGACAGTCTTCCCTCCAATAATCTAGCACTATAGTCTACTGCAAAGATCAATATTCAACAAATCTATACTACTTATAAAAGAGAATATCCATGTCAAAATTTTTGATTTTCTTTTTTACCCTCTCAATTTTTTTAACTCAAAATTATACCATTAATTATAAAACTAATTATCCATAACCTCTCATTAACTACGCATCTTTTCATTTTCTTAAATTATTTGGTCATTCACTAGAATATATTAATAATTTATAATAATAACAAAATTCATGAATATATGATAATTTATTATAAAGAATTATTAATTATATACAATAGTAATAGTCATTCATTTAATAAACATCATCTTATTAATAAAAATTTGGATGTTATAAATTAAAAATACTTTTATTTTGGAAAATTAATTTATATAAAAAATTTTGAATCCTTGAAATTTATGAGACATATACTTTTCTCTTCTTTTTCTCAAAATATTTGGCCACTCAGTAGAATATACTAATAATTTATAATGATAATAAAATTAATAAATATATTATAAAAGAATTATTAATTGTAACAAAATAGTAAAATTATTTATTTAATAAAATATTGTATATAATTATAATTATTAATAATAGTATAAATAGGGATTGATTTTTTATATTATAATGATTATTACCCTTTTCGATATTATAATATCCTCTTAGTCATATAAATTGGACATTATAAATTAAAAATCATTTTATTTAGGAAAATTACTTTATATATAAATATTGGATCTTTGAAATTTATGAGTCATGCACTTTTTGTTGGAAAGTAAATGTATCATATATTTCAAGGGTCCAATATTATATAAAGTACTTTTTCTAAAATAATAGTATTTTTAATTTATACCAGCAATTTTTTTTATTACTAAGACGATATTAATTATCGAACAAGGTAATATTCTTTACAACATAAAATCATACAATATTAAAAATTATTTCCATTATTTAATAGATATTAATATAATAAAATTGTTTGGTGGAAAATTTGTAAAAAGACAATGAAAGAATTGAATGTTTTATTCTCTCAATCTTGATTATAATTTGGATTTCCCGATTTACAAAAGAGAAGAGAATTGATCTAAATTCTCCTCTTTGTTTAATTATGGGTTCTTCATGGTGGCGATGGAGTGCCTCCCTCGAATGCCCGCGTCGAGTTTGCTCTCTATTAACGATCCAAACGTTTTGATTCACTGGAACGATATCTTCTCCTCATGATTTGACGTTGTGGAGAACTTGCAAACCAAGTTCAAAACTCTGAACGAGTTGATAACTCAGATCGAGTTTAAACTCTTGAAAAAGAGTTGATTTGAACCGAAAAATCGATTTATAAGCCAAGGGAATGCTCCAAGAACTTTATTCCTGTCGGAAGCTCGAAGATGATCTGCTGTCGAGAAGATGATCTGAAGAAGCCGATCTCTATATCTCCAAGATACTCCAAGATCCAAAAGATCTGAACTCGGTTGAGTTTACTCCTATTTATAGGAGATTAAGGGGTGTAACCGCCCCCTTAATTCGCTCCTAAGTGGGACTGAATGGGGTGTAACCGTCCCCTTAAACAGCTCCCCAGATCGTGGGGAAAACGATTTTAAAACCGTTCAGTTCATGCTTTGAACGAGTCAAACACTAAAAAATAGCGTTCAGGGCCCGAACTCTGCGTTTTAGACTTAAAACACAGAGTTGGGCCTATTTTGGTGGCTGAACGCACAAGTCGCGCTGCGTTGTAAATATAAAACGCAGAGTTGGGACGTAGAGATGAACTCCGCGTTTTGGACCTGAGATGCAGAGTTAGGCTCTGCATGAACTCTGCGTTTTGGACCTGAGACGCAGAGTTGGGCTCTGCATGAACTCTGTGTTTTGAGTCCACGAACTCTGCGTCTGGACTTGAATGCTGTGGATGGCATCTGCGTTTTGACTCTGGAATGCAGGTATGACCTTTGCGGTTTGATGTTGCAGCACAGGGATGACCTCTGCGTTTTGATGGTGTAACACATGGATGACCTCTACGTTTTGATGTGAAGAGACCATCAATTTGTGGTCTCTTTTGCTGGAGCGTTGCAAAGACCGTCATCTTATAATATTCATCTTGGCTCCTTGAAAATATGAGAGTCGTCAGATTATAACTTCCATCATCGGTGTTGTTAGACCCTAGAGGGGGGGTGATTAGGGTCTTATGCTAATCTAATCCGATTTAAGTGCCAATTAAAATTAATTAACAAGTATATTCTTGCAAGATAGATATACAAGAGTTATGTGCAAGATTAAGCAATATGAACAAAGGTAAATATCCTAGCAATGATATATACTATGAGATATATGCAAGGATATATGAGTTAACACAAGATGATATATCCTATCAAAGAGATATACAATATGATATATGTATAGGATATGTAAACTGACACAAGGGGTAAACAATCTAAACAAGATAGTGGATGATATAGATAATGAGCTAATGACAATGGCGATATAAGATATGAACATAAATATGAATGAACGCCAAAGCACACTCAAACAAGCAATATGATCACGGAGTTCGGACCTTCCGTCCTCCGTCTCCGCTCCCCACTCCCGGGGAGAAATCCACTAACACAATCCGGTTTGGAAGCCGGAACTTCTTCTACACACTCGGTTTT